GCACTGATATGCTAAAAGAGGCAAATGTAACAAAAATGAATGAGAAAAATCACTGGAAAAAAGTTGAAGTTTTGATATCATCATTTAGCCTTATAATATTAAAAATTGGTAGACTTAGGAAACCTTCGTATCTTCAAAGATTCAAGCCCTTAAAAAAGAGTTTTGTTCCATGAGCCATAGTTGGCCATTTGCTTACTGTTTTCTTTAATTTTGCTAATAGTGAGCTCTTTAGATGACTTTTGTTCGACTTATCTGAACATTAGTATATGCATAGATGCATATTTTTAAATGCAGAGATTTGGTGTCAAAATTCTGAGTCTATTGTTGCAATCTGTGTATCTATAAGACATCTCACTGTGCTTTTGATCTTAAAGATGTTGGAGTCCACTTTTTAAATACAAATTTTAACTAGAATTTTTGTGTCTTAGGTTTAATTTTCCCAGAGCAGATATTAAAACAAGGACTAGAAAACAGGTAATTGGTTTGAGAAATGATCTCCAAAAATACTGGTAAGGGAGTAAGGAAGAAAGACATAGGATATTTTAAAAATTCTTCTTATCAAGGTAGCTGCTGCTATGGGCAGCTGGGGCTCCACCTGAGCAGGAAAATCAGAGGCATGGGGGCAAGCATGACTGAGGGATAGGAAACTGTACTAGTTTTCATCTGGTTCCATCCATAAATGGCCAAAAGCCCATTAAGCCCTCAGGCGGAAAGGTGGGAGCAGAGGTGGCTGTAAATCATTCTGCTGTGCAAAATCCATTATTCCAATTTAATTATGCTATTAGTTTCCATATCGAGCAACAAACTCAGGTTCCTTCCCCTCCTTTTTGTTTTTTAGGGGTCTTGGGTTTTTTTTTCTATTTTCATTTCTACTTTATTACTAAAGTGAACCAATTATAATTTCAACTGTTTTCTGCTGGTTGGCTCTTGTTTCTTTTTTTTTTTAATTTTTTATTGTTGGCTGTTCAAAACATTACATAGTTCTTGATATATCATATTTCACACTTTGATTCAAGTGAGTTATGAGCTCCCATTTTTACCCCATACACAGATTGCAGAATCACATCAGTTACACATCCATTGATTTACATATTGCCATACTAGTGTCTGTTGTGTTCTGCTGCCTTTCCTATCCTCTACTATCCCCCCTCCCCTCCCCTCCCCTCCCCTCTTCTCTCTCTGCCCCCTCTACTGACATTCATTTGCCCCCCTTGTATTATTTTTCCCTTTCCCCTCACTTCCTCTTGTATGTACTTTTGTATAACTCTGAGGGTCTCCTTCCATTTCCATGCAATTTCCCTTCTCTCTCCCTTTCCCTCCCACCTCTCATCCCTATTTAATGTTAATCTTCTTCTCATGCTCTTCGACCCTACTCTGTTCTTAGTTACTCTCCTTATATCAAAGAAGACATTTGGCATTTGTTTTTTAGGGATTGGCTAGCTTCACTTAGCATAATCTGCTCTAATGCCATCCATTTCCCTGCAAATTCTATGATTTTGTCATTTTTTAATGCAGAGTAATACTCCATTGTGTATAAATGCCACATTTTTTTATCCATTCATCTATTGAAGGGCATCTAGGTTGGTTCCACAGTCTTGCTATTGTGAATTGAGCTGCTATGAACATCGATGTAGCAGTGTCCCTGTAGCATGCTCTTTTTAGGTCTTTAGGGAATAGACCGAGAAGGGGAATAGCTGGGTCAAATGGTGGCTCCATTCCCAGCTTTCCAAGAAATCTCCATACTGCTTTCCAAATTGGCTGCACCAATTTGCAGTCCCACCAGCAATGTACAAGTGTACCCTTTTCCCCACATCCTCTCCAGCACTTGTTGTTGTTTGACTTCATAATGGCTGCCAATCTAACTGGAGTAAGATGGTATCTTAGGGTGGTTTTGATTTGCATTTCTCTGACTGCTAGAGATGGTGAGCATTTTTTCATGTACTTGTTGATTGATTGTATGTCCTCCTCTGAGAAGTGTCTGTTCAGGTCCTTGGCCCATTTGTTGATTGGGTTGTTTGTTCTCTTATTGTCTAATTTTTTGAGTTCTTTGTATACTCTGGATATTAGGGCTCTATCTGAAGTGTGAGGAGTAAAGATTTGTTCCCAGGATGTAGGCTCCCTATTTACCTCTCTTATTGTTTCTTTTGCTGAGAAAAAACTTTTTAGTTTGAGTAAGTCCCATTTGTTGATTCTAGTTATTAACTTTTGTGCTATGGGTGTCCTATTGAGGAATTTGGAGCCCGACCCCACAGTATGTAGATCGTAGCCAACTTTTTCTTCTATCAGACGGCGTGTCTCTGATTTGATATCAAGCTCCTTGATCCATTTTGAATTCACTTTTGTGCATGGCGAGAGAAAGGGATTCAGTTTCATTTTGTTGCATATGGATTTCCAGTTTTCCCAGCACCATTTGTTGAAGATGCTATCCTTCCTGCGTTGCATGCTTTTAGCCCCTTTATCAAATATAAGATAGTTGTAGTTTTGTGGATTGGTTTCTGTGTCCTCTATTCTGTACCATTGGTCCACCCGCCTGTTTTGGTACCAGTACCATGCTGTTTTTGTTACTATTGCTCTGTAGTATAGTTTGAAGTCTGGTATTGCTATACCGCCTGATTCACACTTCCTGCTTAGCATTGTTTTTGCTATTCTGGGTCTTTTATTTTTCCATATGAATTTCATGATTGCTTTCTCTATTTCTACAAGAAATGCCGTTGGGATTTTGATTGGCATTGCATTAAACCTATAGAGAACTTTTGGTAATATCGCCATTTTGATGATGTTAGTTCTGCCTATCCATGAACAGGGTATATTTTTCCATCTTCTAAGATCTTCTTCTATTTCTCTCTTTAGGGTTCTGTAGTTTTCATTGTATAAGTCTTTCACCTCTTTTGTTAGGTTGATTCCCAAGTATTTTATTTTTTTTGAAGATATTGTGAATGGAGTGGTTGTCCTCATTTCCATTTCAGAGGATTTGTCGCTGATATACAGGAATGCCTTTGATTTATGCGTGTTGATTTTATATCCTGCCACTTTGCTGAATTCATTTATTAGCTCTAATAGTTTCTTTGTAGACCCTTTTGGGTCTGCTAGATATAGAATCATGTCACCTGCAAAGAGTGATAATTTAAGTTCTTCTTTTCCTATTTTGATGCCTTTAATTTCTTTCGTCTGTCTAATTGCTCTGGCCAGTGTTTCGAGAACTATGTTGAACAGAAGTGGTGAGAGAGGGCATCCCTGTCTTGTTCCAGATTTTAGAGGGAATGCCTTCAATTTTTCTCCATTCAGAATGATGCTAGCCTGAGGCTTAGCATAGATTGCTTTTACAATATTGAGGTATGTTCCTGTTATCCCTAGTTTTTCTAGAGTTTTGAACATAAAGGGATGCTGTACTTTGTCGAATGCTTTTTCCGCATCTATCGAGATGATCATATGGTTCTTATTTTTAAGTCTATTGATGTGGTGAATAACATTTATTGATTTCCGTATATTGAACCAGCTTTGCATCCCAGGGATGAATCCTACTTGATCATGGTGCACAATTTTTTTTATATGTTTTTGTATCCGATTCGCCAGAATTTTATTGAGGATTTTTGCATCTAGGTTCATTAGAGATATTGGTCTGTAGTTTTCTTTCTTTGAAGTGTCTTTGTCTGGTTTAGGTATCAGGGCGATGTTGGCCTCGTAGAATGAATTTGGAAGTTCTCCCTCTTTTTCTATTTCCTGAAGTGGTTGGCTCTTGTTTCTATGAAGCCCAGTTTTGTTACCTCTGAATTTCACTCTGCAGATTTAGCTATTGTCATTCCCATTTGTGTTGGTTCGCTCCCACCAAGAATAAACATTGTAAATTAGGTTTAAAAAAGTGGGTAGTTTCACCTACATACTAACCAATCATTGAAACTCCCTGAAACAACTGTGAGTGCCATCCCTCCAAATACTCCAGAATCATCTATTGCTGTAAGCAAGCTTCACCTCTGACCTGATGGTTGAACTTTAGTAAATTTATAGCATGGCCTTCTTAAGCCTCCGTTTCCTCATCTGCAAAACTATACTAACGATAGAGACTTCCTAACTTCTGGTTAGGAATCAAAGTAAATTGTTTAGAAGAATTTTTTGTGGAAGTAAACATTCAATCAATATAAGCTATTTATTATTAACGCTTTGTGATTTAAGATTGTTAGAATATATGTCAGTTATTTCATCAACTGCTGACTGATTTGCCAAAAGCATACTCACCATCCAAACTACCTATAAAGAACAAATGGTTGTATCCCTCTCCAGGGGTAAAAATCGTGGTTTCATAGGGTTGTGGCTGGTAAGGGCATCATAAGACACTATGCATAGTGGACACTGAGAACTGCTTTGTGCCTTTTCCTCTTCTAGGAATGTGTGCCACTAGTTTGCAGGATAGGAAAAATGATGTTATGATGAATTTCTTAGGCACTTCTAGAAAGATGGTCTCCCTGAGTGTTGGAGGATTTGATATTAGTTGACTCTCCTGTCATATCTAGTTGTTTATCCTGAAGCTCCAATACCCTTTCCAAAATGTCTTCAGAAAGGTTTGTCCGTTCTTGTTCAGTGGTTCCTACTCTGCAATCAGCGCTTCAGGATGCTCATGTGCTACTTCTGTTTGTGAGCTTAGTACAGGTTGAGTACCCCTGATCAGAAGTGTTTAGGATTCCCAGCTTGGGGAGGTGTTGGAATATTTCATATACATAATGAGATATCTTGAGGATGGGAACCCAGTCTAAACATGATATTGGTTTACATGTTTATATACATCTTATACACCCAACCTGAAGGTAACTTCATAAAATATTTGTAATCATTTTGTGCATGAAACAAAGAGTCGTAGTGTGGCATTTTCCACTTGTGTTCCATGTCAGTGCTCCAAAAGTTTTGGTGTTTGAAGCATTTTGAATTTTGAATTTTTGTATTAGGGATGCTCAACCTGTAGATTTTTTTCTATAAACCGTGCGTGTATTTTTTCTTCTGTTTTTTAGATTTACTTGTGGGTGCGTTTGGAACAGGAAAAGTAGCTGTTTACAGGTATGTGGCTGGTGGTATGCAAATGTTCTTCTAATTGTTTTAGTTACATTTTCTTTTTATTGTTTGTTTTGCCTTAAAAACCTATTCTGATTATTCTGGATAATACTTAGATGCTCTTTTTAAAATCTGGAGGTATTTTGGCCCTCAATTTTTAGCCTTTCATCCTTCTCTATTTTTATTTTCATACTTGATGACCAAACTTCCAGTCCCTACCAGTGAAACATTAAATAAGACTTGAAACTCAGAAAATCATAAAATGAGCCACTCTTTAAATATTACTGTATTTGAACTTTTCTTTGTACTTTGGAAATCATTGAAATGTGCACTCATAGAGGAGTTTGGGGTGGGGGAATTTACTCTTTACCTTGGCTGCTATAATCAAGTGTGGACACTGAGTTAAGGAATAAAACATACCAGGAGTTGGCAGCCTGCAAAATCAAGTGTTGATCAGCAGTTCAAATGCAACAGGCGTGGAATCCAAGCCAGGCCGTTCCACACACTCACTAATTTGTAACCTTGGATAAATTCCTGTAACTTTCTAAACCTCAGGTGTTTTATCTGCAAAATGGAATAGCAATGCTGACTTTATTAGATAACCTTTGTTCAAAAGAATTCAGTGAGAATCTGCATGTGAAGTACTCTGAACACTAGCTGGTTAGATAGTTGATGCTTAAAATGTTTGGACTTTACTTTAAAACATTTATAAGAATTTAAGAAACTATGTCAGGATATTGAGACAAAAGTCAGAGAGCATAAATAGTTGTCCCTAGGCATGTAGGGAAGGTAGTGCTAATACAGTCAGCTCCCAGAGAAAGTCTGAGGTTAAGGTTTCCTGCTGTAGGTGGGTTTTCTTCCTCATCAGTTCCATATAAACTCAATGAGAGCTGATTTATACCAATGACTTTCCACTTCGGGCTCTAGAGAATCAGGCAGTTGGAACTCCCAAAGTTTTGAAGCTTGGGGCTTGGGATTTGCAGTGGCCACAAAAAGTTGAAGAGAAATGGCCCCATGGCCCAAACTGCTACTTTCTGCGTCTGCCATTGCTCTTGTGTCAATGCACTGTTTCCCATGAGCAGCTCCCAGCCAACTACTGAACACAACAAGGACATAAATAGAAGCTTATTCCTACAAGACATGCAACTCCCCTCACAGGTAACTCTGACCCAAGGACACCCCATCACCCACACCAGAACTTTCTTATTCAACCTTCTCTCCTCCCTTCATCCTTACAGGTATCAAAACTCCAAGCCTCCTCCCTTCACTCCCCTTTTCTTCTCATAGGTGTTTGCCACAATAAATATCTTGGACACCTAATTCCATTTTGTCATCTGCTCTAATAAGGACTGGAGTTAACACAATATTGAGAATAAAAATAATGAAGTACAGATATACAGCATAAAGCACCTTAGGAAAAATCCCAGTAGGCCCCATGTGGTAATGATGAAATTGTTTAAAGCAATGTCCTAAGCAACTTTCTGACCTCCAAGTCACAGCTCCCCCTTCTGTCTTCAGAGAAGATTTACCCAACATGGCGTCACTGCATCCTGAGATATGGTGGCCTTGACTCCTACTGTCATCCTGAAATCTGGTGGCGTTGATTTCCAAGCTTTAAAAATCACTCCACTCACTTCTGTGGTGACTTATTCTCTGGTCTTTTTATCCTCACCTGAGTGGCCAGAATAGTGCTAACTCCATCAGTTCCTCTCAAACTTTGTTGCATGTTAGAAATACATTCCAATGTGGTTCTTGCCCCAGAGGTTCCCCTTTGGTTGTTCTGTGGTATGGCCTGAGCCTTGTATTTCAAAGTTCCCTGGGTGATTCTATTGGGCAGTCAAGATTAAGAACCACCACTCTGAGTTAAGCACAGAATTATTCTGTAAACCCACCCTCGAGTGCTTAGCTAACTCTGCAAAGCTCAGATAGAACTTTGTCAATTGAGGTAAAACATTGTCAATGAGCCAACAACATTGTAAAATTCAAATACTTACTGTGAGTGGCTGGAAGATGATGGATTTTCTCAAGCATGAATGTAAATATTCTACCAAATTGTAAAGCAGTATTTTATACCAATGTAGTCACAATATTGTGAGTCCATTCCATAAAGAAAGCAGGTCTGTGAGTATGGCTACACTTTATAGGCCCACAGCATCCCTTATTTGGATTCATATGCTATCAGGTGTGTTCAGAGGTAGCTAATTGAGTGTGCTGCCCTTTTATTCATGCAGAGAACAGAATTCTTGGCACAAATCTGGGAATATTGGCAGGAGCCTTTGGAAGCAGACTTCTGCCTTTCAGGAAGAGAGCTTCTGCCTGTCGCTGGTGAGGGCCATTCAGACCCTGTGTTTTCTCCCTGCAGAGCAAGGCCAGTTGTGACTGTGGATGCCCAGCTTCTGCTGCACCCAGTGATTATCAATATTGACAATAAAACTTGCCAGATTCCAGAATCTTTGACACCTGTGGCCTGGTGAGTTCACCCAGTGCTTCTCAACCTCTAATGTGGATTCAGATCACCTTGGTATCTTATTTTAAAAAAATGCAATAGTTCAGTGCAGTAAGTTTGAAGTAGGGCCTGAAGCTTTGTATATCTAGAAAAAGCTTCAAGAGGCCACTGATGCTGCTTGTCTGTGGACCAAGTTTGAGTAGCAAGGAAGTAGTCTTTTAAATGCAACTATGACATGATGCCGACCTTTGGCTAGTTCTCTGATCTTTAGGCTCTGAAATGAGAAGCATCAAAACCTTTGGGAAAATTCCCAGTGAAACAAACCTTGGAGAGATCTCTTTGGCATACTAAAATGTTAATCAAACTAAAAATAAAACAAAATACCTTATCTTGCATTTGCATATGTTTATGGATACCACTTTTCAGATATCTCTTATGTATCCTCCCATGCAACTTTTCTAATAGTCTAGCTTGGGTTAAATCATTGCTTCCTGTGCTGAATGCAGATGTCAGTTTTGTAACATAGCATGTACAACTAGATAGAAGGTAAACCTTACAAAAAAAGAGATTTTTTTTTTTGTATGCCCTAACCTGAACTTTTGTGATCACGATCTCATCATTAGGAATAGTGGTAGAATCATGGCCCCTTGGCCTGGACCACAGGAGAATATTGCTTAGCCAGCTTTTCAAAGTGTCCCTTGTGAATTGTGCCAGTCACATGAAAGGAGGACAAAATGAAACTAGATTATATCAAAACCCAAGAAAATAACCCCTAGTATTTCAAGAGTAGGTCAGAGGTCATTATATTGGATTATGCCAACTGGGCTTATCTCCTGGAAAATCAGTAAATCCCTGAGGTGTTTGAGATTTGCCCTCATTTTCCAGGAGATGCGGTCTAACTCAGGACAGTATGTTCAGTTTCTCAGAATGTCAGAATGTAGAACAGGCCAGTCGTGACCCAAATAAGTTATTTCTAGCCCGTGTTACTATGTTACTGATGGCCTTTCGACAGGAGTTCTTATCAAAGTCAACACTTGAGGATGGAGGGTGGGGGATCCAGAAGACCCCGAAGAATTCTTCGAAAAACATCCTGTTGCTGGGAGCTCCTATAGCGGGCAGGCATGTCCTCTCCCTTAACTGCTTTTGAAAGTAGTTGGGAAATGCCCTGAGCACATTTTTAAATGGTTTAAACCATAAAATAGTATAATGAAAACCTGATCTGAGAAAATATGTGAAAGAGCCAGAACTTTTCCTTAGCCTGGCATGATTAAATGAACATTAAATGAACTGTGAGTGCTACTTGAGTGTGAGTATTAAAACTTCAATATCCCCATGTAGTCTTCTCTAACCCTGTGGATTTCTAGAAGGAATTCCTTCAACATGGACAGCACACTCTGGTATAGAATGTGGTGGTTTTGAACAAGATAAATTTTTTTTCCTAAGGACTTTTAGTTCCATGGATAGTTTCCTTAAAATTTAAGTAGTTTTATGGAACCTGTTTGGTTTTACAGAAAGATTATTACTTTTAAACCAGAAAGTGTTCTTTTTGTGAGCAATTTTCCGATTGCATTAAGTCATTTTTATTAAGATGAGATGCGATTCTTATGTAGACGAATTATATTACATTCCTTTAAAGTTATTTATTTAATTCTATTGCACATGTTTCCTGAAAGGCATTTTATTCTCATTTGCAAAATTTATGAGTGGGCCTGTAATCCCAGATTAATCCCTCAGGAGGCTGAGGCAGGAGGATTGTGAGTTCAAAGCCAGCCTCAGCAAAAGTGAGGCACTAAGCAACTCAGTGAGTCCCTGTCTCTAAATAAAATACAAAAACAGGGCTGGGATGTGGCTCAGTGGTCAAGTGCCTCTGAGCTCAATCTCCAGTACCAAAAAAGAAAAAAAAAATCTGAATGGTACCTCAGAGTATTAAAAATATAGAGAGAGCAGTTGTTTTAGTATACAATGTGTCTCTCTCATTCTTTATAGTTATTGTTATTATTCTGATAATTTAGCATAGTTTTTTCAAAGCAATTGAAAGGCCTCTGTGAATAACCTTTTACTGTAGATCTGAAATGGTTCTTCACTTTCATCAATATAGATTTGTCTTTCCTTTTTTTTTTTTTTTTTGGCACTGGTAATTGAATCCAGGGGCACTTTACCACTGACCTACAACCCCACACCTTTTTATTTTTAATTTGTACAGGGGTTCATTAAGTTGCTTAGAACCTTGCTACATTGCTGAGGCTGGCCCCAAATTTATGATCCTCCTGCCTCAGCCTCCTGAGTTGCTGGGATCATAGGCATACAGGCATGTATAACCAAACCCAGCTTATTGTAGATTTCTATCTTTCAATTGGCTGTGTAGCTTTATAAGATAACTGCTATTGGCTTTCTAAGTTAGAAAAAGAAAAGGAAATCCAACTCATTAAATATCAGCATAATTAATTTTAACAAATTAGAAAAAAACTAGTGGAAATTTGCATTTTATAAATGCAAAATTAACTAGTCAATTTACCAATCTGGGAAAAAACAAACAAAAAGCCTTTCCAGATTTAAGTAACTTTATGTAAAATCTAATATTTGCCATCATCATAAAAGGATTGAATTGGTGAGAGTGAAAAATGAATTGTTTTGTGTTTTTAAATCAAATTTCATATTGATTTCATTTTCTTCTCATCATACATGGATAGCTATGATCAGACTCATATCACAGGATCATTATTCCAACCGTGCATAGGTGGCAATTAGTATGAGGATTGTGTCTTGTCCTGACCATATCAGAAGCACTGTCTGTGAACAGTTTCATTTAGATTTATGTGATGAGGGGTCTGGATTGATTTCATGGTTGTTGTTCCAGTCAGACCTATTCAGAATAATGGGCCATGCCGAATATGATCATAAGTTCAATAATGGTTCACAGCTTTTCCTGACAACCCAAGTATACTTTATAACTATGTACTAACCTGCAAGTGGTCCTAATTCTACGGTATATAAAACACATGATGTCTGTGCATGGATCTGTATATAACAGATTTTTTTTCTGTGTTTTAGATGAATATGCCAGTCCACTGCTAAACTAGTCTGAGGTTTTTCTCTTTAGATTAGCACAGAGTTCTTAGAAACTTGTGACAAAGTTTTTTTTTCTGCTAAAGACATCTTTAAAACAACAGGTTTTAAAGATGCTGTTGTCAGTAATTCAGTAAGTTGTATAGTGGTTATATTAAGCTTCATGAAAAATGTGAGTCATCCAGTTGTTAATGATATTGAAGGAACAGAAAGAGGAAACTAAGAAATATAGACAGAGACTAACATATAATCCATAAATCAACAGTAACCTTCAGTTGATAACCTCATTTACCAAATACCTTCTCACAGAGTGGAAATAATGTCTACTTTCATAGCTTTAATTTCTTCCTTTTCCAAAAATCTATATTGCTTTTGAACGGTTCGTATTAAACAAAACACTATCTCCAAAATTGTTTTAATTTACACATGTCGATCATTTCATTACAAATATGAATTTATCTTCTAAAAGCTAATGAGCTTTGTCTATGCAGAATAATGATAAATAGAATAAAGGTCAATAGATGACTTTAACAAAAAAGTTGTGCACAGAAAAAAATTCCATTTTTGGAAGCCGGACCTGCTACAAAATTTAAAGATGTGATTAACTAGTCATTGTCCTTGAATACTTCTAATTGAAGTAGAAGTGCACCGGAATTTGTGATTTCTCTGGGGAAGTGGTATAAACACTTGTAATGGCATAGACATCTCGGGAAACTTTTGACTTAATGGTATGTGGCGAATTATTTACCCTGAAGGGAGACATTGACTGGGGTCACAGAGATAGATGAATCCCAGATGTGACACATTTTCATTATGTTTGACACAGGAAGCCGGCATATAATTAAAGTATGATTGGGGCTTATTTACTTTGTTTGAATTCTGTGGAAATATTTAAATCATGCTGTAGTATTTTGTTGGTAAAATCTTTAAGACTGTCATTAAATCATAATAAGTATTTTCTTATATTTTTTACTTCCTTTGAAATGTGAAAAGGCTCCATCTTTCATGCTATTAGAACTTAAGAATTTTTCCAAGAGGAAGGTAAGAACATTCAACAAACTCAGGAGGAGAAAATGGGATGTTTCTCGTTCCCGCTGTGGTCACAGACCAGGGCCAAGTGCAGGTCATCCCAGAAGCCAGAGCAAGATATTTCCTTGGATTAGGATTCAGGCAGGTTCATGGCAAAACTGTAGAGTGTCTTCCATGTACATCTGTCCTCTCATCGCTGTCTTCATAGAAAACAAACAACAACAACAACAACAAATATATATATATATATATATATATATATATATATATATATATATATATATGAGAGAGAGAGAGAATTTTTAATATTTATTTATTTATTTTAGTTTTCAGTAGACGCACCATCTTTGTTTTATTTTTATGTGGTGCTGAGGATCGAACCCAGTGCCCCGGGCATGCCAGGCGAGCGCGTTACCATTTGAGCCATATCCCCAGCCCAATAGCCTATATATTGTGCCTACCTAGCTAGACAGCAGCCTGAAGCTCCTTATTTTCTTTCTCTTGTCCTCCTTTTTCTTTTCCCTCTACTGCCAGTCTTACTCCGCATCTAGCATGCTACCACCAAGTTCCAGTCTTTCCAAGCAGAGTGGGTGATGTAGGTTAAGCAGAGTGTGCTATTCTATGCTTTTTAGGATTAAATTCACACTATTTAGCATGACTTCAAAGCCCTGTTTCCCATCATTCCACCAAGTCAGCTGTGCCTCCTCCAACTTCCATACCTTGTTGGATGCTGTAACCACACTGGATCTTTCAGTGTTGCAGATGGGGCCATGTTCCTACTAATCTAGGCTTTGCCATTACTATCCACCACTGTCCTGCCTTGTTCTTCACTCCATTGCATATGAAAGATATTTATATGTGTCCACTGAATAAAAGCTGCCGGGTATTAGTTGATCAATTGTTAAATCAGTTGAACTCTAGTAATTTTTTCAAATATTACTTTCCTATGGCCAGTTACCTGTCTTAATTGTATTGGTGTTGTGGCAGACTTGTGGGAAACGTGTGTGTGTGTGTGTGTGTGTGTGTACCATTAAAAATATAAAGGGAAAATTATGTGTTCGTTTTAATGGGGGAAAAGGATAGGAAGATTTCTACTTCAGATTCAAAACTGTATTAACCAATCAATTATTGACTATTTTTTATAGCTTTTCTTTAAGAGTATGTGCATCTGTAGCAGGTCAGAGCATTTCAAACACAATAGGTGAGTATACTCCTGTATTGTACCAAGAAAACTGAACAGTAATCATCTCTCTGCATAGACTATATAAAACTAAAGATCCCTTACTCAACACCCAGATTTCTATTGCACTTTTGGAGACTTGTACATAATATTACTTCAATAACTGTTATTACTATTATGTATAAAGTATATAATTGTGAGGAAAATGACAATCTGTAAAACATTACAAAAAAAATTTGAGCTTGGAGAATACTTTGTAACTTTGTTGTTCAGTTCATGTATGTATCTGATCTCAGCTAATTAGAAAAAAAATATTTCCTGAATAAGCAATTTAAAATAAGAATTCATATCTGAATACTTTTCCTCCCCTGATTCTATTCAGCCCTGACAGCTGAGGTGCAGTTAGACTCCCTGAAACAGAAAGGAGCCATTAAAAGAACACTCTTCCTGGGTAACCATCAACCCCATCTCCTCTTCCCTCTGGTGATAAAGCGTCAGAAATCCCTCCAGTGCCAGGATTTTGTCGTTTACCTTCGAGTAAGTGTTGCAGAAATCATTTTCGTGGCCTCTCACATGCAAATCTGAATTCCAGTCATTTTCCCCCATGTAGTCATCGTATTTGTCTCCAGAGATCCCCATCTATTTTCATTTTCATAGGAGGAAACTTCAAGGTTGAATACTCTTCCTGACCCTGACTTCAACTAACCTAATGATCTGTTGCTCTTAATTTCTAAGGCTTCTTTCTGTTTTGAACAAAATCTTGATAACAGCACTCAACTCAGGTGGTTTTCATTTCTAAGTGCCTCCCCTCTAAAGATCATAAAAGTTCAATACAATTTATTTGAGTTTTTATCCAATGCAAGTATGTCATGTTGTTAGATTTTTATCAGTATGCATTTCAAAGCCAACTTAGGAAAACATTAGGCATTCAAGGCTTTTATTAAAAGTAATTTATAATTATCATTTTTAAAAGTAATATGTTTTTACAACTCTAAAACCTGCCATGAAATTTGAAAAGTCCAAATATTTATAACACAAGTATCGACCTTCACCTTGCCAGTGGTTGGGTGATGGTCATTTATTCTCATTTCTTCTCCCATAAGGGACTGGTTAGCAAGAGGAACCCTAGGGAAGACCAGAGATTCACAGCCACATTCACACGTGAAAAGCCAGGCATGACTCACACAGCTTACTGTGGCCTTAAATGGCACAAATAAAGGGTGAAAGGCCCGATGTGTGCTTGCTACTGGGTGTTTAGCCTCTCCTTGGAAGAATTCTGTGCCTTTTATCAAGGGAACGTGAAATGTGCTGAAGATGTTTTGAAGTTCATGCAAGCCAGGCCTTAAAGAAATAATAAGGGAAGAAGAGAATCAAGATGTTTTTTTTTCCCCTGAGCCTAAGAGTACTCATAAATTATGGCAATCTCCTGAAAACAAAAATCCCAATTCTTGATGGTTTTCATTGCATTTACAGTATATAAGTGTAATCTTTTGCTTTACAACTTGACTGATTTTGTGTGAGTTGTTGACAATCTAGAGATCCCAAAGTTTCCCTCTAGAAGCACATGTTGGTGAAGCTGGGGCTCTAAATGATTGCATCACTGAACATAAACTAACTACGCTAGCTACTATATACCACATAAATCAGCATGTGTCTAAACCTTCTGCCGTGGTCGTTGCTCTATCAGTCACTTTCACTGAGCAATGTCGAGCGTTGCCTGCCTTTTGCAGACCAACATCTTGCAGCTATTTCACGGAGCCTCTCTTGAGCTTGTGGTTATTTTTCCTAGGATGAAACAGAATTCCGAGATAAATTATCTCCAATCAATATTAGTTTGAATTACAGCTTGGATGAATCCACCTTTAAAGAAGGCCTGGAAGTGAACCCAATACTAAACCACTACAGGGACAATGTCGTTACTGAACAGGTATGTCCTCGATGAACTTTGGTGGCACTTTTGACAGGTAACCTTTGGGGGTGTGGGTTCCTGTGACCTGAGATGAAGGCTGGCCCCTGATGTTTTCTTTCCTGTATATAGTTATGCAACATTTGGGAGGTTTTTTTTCTTTTTTCTAAGAGTTTTTTCTAACATGTTTCCTGAAACACCGCATCCTGATGTTTTCTGAAGCCCCTCCCCTTATGCAACCAAGATTTAATTTGTTCAAAATGTGGCAGTAATAAAAGCAACACAGCCTATAATACTCAAAACAATGACACATATCATACTTGACTGACATTTCAAAATTAATTGGAATTAGACAACAAGGTAAACTAGCCCATGTTGAGAGGTCATCTCATAACCTAGGGTACAGGACTGGGTAGAATTGGACATCATGAGATAAAAGCTTTGGTTTAATTTTTGGAATTGCTTGGAATTTTCAAGAGAAAGGATATGATTCAGGCTTTCCCAGATTATTCCTGATGTCTGGTTTGTACAATACAGGCTCACATCCTGGTGGAGTGTGGAGAAGATAATCTGTGTGTTCCTGACTTGAAGCTGTCGGCTAGACCGTGAGTTTAAATAAATAAATGTGTGCATTCTATCTAATGAAATACAGATGTTTATTTAAAGTTTCTCTGGATAAGGTACACACTTCCAACTAGAGGGGAAAAAAAGCAACTTACTTGAAATTCTTGAGTTTGGCAACACTTTGGGTTATCCTGGGGTTTGGTTATTTCTTTGCCATTGGCGTCAAATGACACCCTGAGATTTTGGCTGAGCTATTTCGTCTTTCAACAAAAGTTAAAAAAAAAAATAATGTTTTTTGTTAAAAGTAAACTCACATACAGGGTGGCTGGGGTTATATTTACTTGCCTGAGTCAAGTGGGCAAAGCATTCAGAGAGGGGGTTCTATCTACACCTTAACCAAACTGGTTTTCACAGCATGCATGGCTCAAAGCCATCCTTAAAAGTGTCAAAACAAAATTCATTTTAACTTGCTGGAAAAAAAGGAACTTAAAATGCACAGAAGGGAGTAAAGCATAAGATGTCAGAAAGTCAAATAAGAATCAAAGGGCTTCCTAGTTGTCAGTAACTGGGGGCCCAGACTCCAGCATCTGTAATTTCAGAAAGAATTCAGACTGAGATATAAAACATCCTCTGGTAGCAAAAGCAGATTTGTGCTCCTTCCTCTCCCAGAAACTATGGTTACTGCCATAGTTTGGAATCTGTATGGTAATTTCTCAAGGGAACTTTGCCCAAACTTCATAATTTACCAAGTGTCAAAAGCAATGGATTTGAGTGAAGGTCAAAAGTGGAAGAGTCATTTCTAAATGTTGGTTTCATTTGGAGTTCAAAGTGAATTAAGGTTCTTCAAAATCCTTCAAAACCTTCTATCAGCCATTTAGGATCCTGTTTGATCTGCCAGTTTCTTCCTTTTTATCATAAGTGTGTCATGTCCCTTCTTACTTTCTAAACCATCTCTCTTTTTTCTCATAACCTATTTTCTTCCTAATATATGTTTTCAGCAGTGTTCTGAAGCTGCTTAATTCTGGCTTTTAAGCCAAATGTTAATTTTGCAGAACTTTTTGCTAGCAGGTTGCTAAGTATATTGGTAGCTTGGAATTAACTACAGTGAGACGATTTATACCATTGGAATCCACAAATGCTATAAATTGGTTTTCTTGTGGTTTGAGATCTGGTTGTCAAACATTCCCAGCACCCCACTGGGTGTTTTTCTGCTATTCCCAACCAGACACAGTTCTCCTGACTCTTCCTGCCACTCCTTCCTGATGATCTATCTTCTTTATTGAAGTTCTAGTTTAGTATTTGCTCTGTTCCTTTTCCCTCCTAAATTATTTTAAAAGAAAATCCATGAAGTCAGAGAAATAGAATAAACTAATCATTCTTCCTAAAACTACATTTTTTTAGAGATAAGCACCAGATTATCATTGGAGATGAAAATCACCTTATGCTCATAATAAACGCAAGAAATGAAGGGGAGGGGGCCTATGAAGCGGAACTCTTTGTAATGATACCAGAAGAGGCGGATTATGTTGGCATTGAACGTAACAACAAGGTAATGCCTGAAAATTATTTGAAGTAAGGAGCTGGGTATGCTTTCAAATTCACATAATGTTAAGTAGGGTCATCAAGCCTGAGTGAGTTTCTTCCTAACTGAGAGAGAACAAAATGGTACCTTGCTCTGTCAAATCATGGTAGGATGAAGGGTTTACACTGTGGTAATGTCTGTCTTTGCCACAGTACAAAGGTAAGTTTGCCAAAGACTGAAAGCTGAAGCAAGGAAGAGAACAGAGCTGGACAAATGGTAGATCAGCTAATATCCCAGGCTAACTCCCCGTCCTTGTGGGATTTTCAAGGTTTGTTTTGAGTTCCTTTTAGTTCCCAGCAGGTCACTAGAGCCTGGTTTTGATTATTAGTTGGGAAAAAGGTCCAGCCAATCTTGCTGAGCACTGATAACAACCTGGACAGGAACTGGAAAGGAAACTAGTAAATTTTTCTTTCTTCTTGGTCCACTTTGGGATTGTGACCAGGAAAAAAAAAACTGTTTCTATGTTCTTATGTTTGTTAAAATGACACTATGCTATTTATCCTCTTTACATTCGTTATCAGAACATGAAATTTCCCACCTCAATATATCCTCTGCTCCTACAGTGTTCTTAATCACTTGGTCTAGAAAACCATTATTAATTCATTATATATTAATAAAGAGTCCCTCAGTTTCAGAAGTATACAAAACTCACAATTGAGAGTAGAGACCAAGTTCCACATTTCTTTCAATAGGAACAGGCACATCATAGGCACTCCTTAAATACTTGTTGAAGGATTTATTTAACTAAAGTTTATTAAATGTCTTGCTGGTTTCCAAATACTGAAACCACTAGGAGTTCTAATGATTTTTTTTCTAATGATTAAGGAGTTCTAATAATTTAATAAAAAGGTATTCCTCTGTTTTGATATTGCTATTTTAAAGCCATTTTAATACTTAGGGAATATGAAACACTCTGTTAGCACTTCTAGTTTCAGGAATTTTGTTTTAATTAAATGATCTTTTCCCTGTAAAAGAAAAGAAGAATCCAGATGAAAAAGAATCAAGTATCTTTGACTCATTTAAAATTATTATGAGTTTCAATGGAAGAAATTCATAGAACAAATATCTCCAAGTTCATCAAGTTGTATCCATTGAATATGTATAGCTTTGGTTGTGTCAATCATACCTCAATAAAGGAGTTTTAAAAAATGGTCCAAATTTTTTCTCTTTTCCATGTCAGCAATGAGACTAGGAAGAGGAATATTCATCCCATTTGTTTTCAGAAGTGTATGAAGCTGTACAACCTGTTCCTTCCTGTCCCCATTTCAGACATGAAAATCAATTTGTCCCCTCATTTCTCCAGTGAATGGCCTATAATCATTTCATTTTCTTCTTCCTCTAGTTACGTGATTTTCCTTACTCATTTCTCCATTAAAGTTACTTCAAGATATGAAAATATGAGAATAAATGGAGCACTTTTGAATGGGAGAAGGAAGATGGCGGCGAGGGGAGTGCATTGCCCCCGTGTGCTGCTTCACTGTGTGGGAGTATGACAAGTCAGGACGGCTAAAGGATATCTTGTTAGGAATTTCCAGCAATAGTGGGGTGCTCCGGAACCTGGAGGAAGGATTTCCATCGCACGAGGATCGGCTACTGGGACTCAAACGCGAGAGGTTTGTCGCACGGAGGGTAACACTGCTTATTCAGCAAATCGCCCCGCGGCTAGAGTCTGCAGCGCGCGCTGGGAAACGAGGAGATAGCGACGCAGGGATACAGCGCTGCAGTTTCTGCCAGCCGTGCAAGCACCGTACTCAGGGCTGAATTCTGGGTTCGAGATGGGGGAAGAAAGCGGTCCATCTCGGTTCTCCACACCGGTCAGACCACAGAGGAGGCCAGCAGCCACCATGTTGGAAAGCTGACGTTACCATCCCTGTTTGCGACTGACCGCAGCTCATTCAGCCATAGAACAAGAAATTTCAGGCTGCAATTCGCCTGCGGCTTGGAGACAGATTGCTAGGGTTCAGTGCCTGGGTGCTTCTTAGAACCTGATCTTATCGGAGCGAACACCGAGCGCGGGGCGGCCAAGTTCCGGCTCCCGGAACCGTCCCGGAACCGTCCTGGCCCAGGGCTGCGGAGCCTGCGGAGGCTGCTTCTTGGATCCTGCTCCTATCAGAGCATACACCAAGCACTAAGCGGCCGAATTCCGGCTCCCGGAACTGAGCCCGCGGGGACTGCTTCTTGGAGCCTACACTTATAGGAGCTTACACCAAGCACGGAGCGGCCGAGTTCCGGCTCCCGGAACTTCCCTGGCCCGGGGCTAGGAGCCCGCAGAAACTGCTTCTCGGTCCGGGTCCTGCTGAGGGCCGGTCAGGACTCACCCGTTGCTTTGGTTGCCCGGCAAGGGGAACGAAATGCTGCCATTCGCATAGGATACCAACATGGCAGAGATCTGATGTCATCAGAAAGCGGTGGAGGAGAGAACTTCATCAATACCAGCGGCGACAGAAACAGTTGGTCTCCTGGTAGGGGGGGTGAGGCACAGATACCCGAGTCTCTCTCGATTTGTCGTGGAGCCAGAGGGGAGGAGCCGGGCCGCCGCCAGCGCCCGGAGCAGGCCCAGCAGCTCGCCAGCGTGGTGACCGCGTGACCCCAATAGGAGAGGGGGCGGAGAGGAGCCGCCACCCACACCCGCAAGGTGGGCAGACCCGCGACCCAGAGGTACATGGGCGTGGTAGGAGGGGCAGGGCAGAGCCGCCGTTCGCGCTTGCAAGGTAAACAGACCTGTGACAGCCTGGCGGGTCAGGCCCAGGGGCCTGCCAGTGTGGTACACACGTCACCCCAACTGGAGTAGGGGCAGAGCAGATCCTTCTCCCACGCCCGGATCAGGCCCTGCCGGGGTGGTGGTCACGTGACCCCAATTGGAGTGGGGGCGGAGCGGAACTGCCACCCGTGCCCGCAGGGTGAGCAGACCTGTGACCAACCTGCAGATCAGGCCCAGGGGTCTGCAGGCGTGGTAGGAGGGGCAGGGCAGATCCGCCGCCCGTGCCTCCAAGGTAGGCAGACCTGCAACAGACCGGCGGATCAGGCCCAGGAGCCGACCAGCGTGGTACACACACCACCCCAATTGGAGTAGGGGCAGAGCAGAGCCTCCACCCGTGCCAGAAAGGTGGGCAGATCTGCGACCGACCAGCGGGACAGGCCCAGTGGCCTGCCGGTACGACAGAAACGTCACCCCATTTGGAGTAGGGGCAGAGTAGAGCCGCCGCCCACGCCTGCAGGGTAGGCAAACCTGCAACCGACCGGCGGATCAGGCCCGGTGGCCTGCCGGCGTGGTACACTCGTCACCCCAATTGGAGTAGGGGCAGAACAGAGCCGCCGCCAGCGCCCAGAACAGGCCCAGTGACCTGCCAGCGTGGTAGCCACGACACCCCAATTGGAATAAGGAGAGAGCAGAGCCGCCGCCCGCGCCTGCAGGAAAGATACGCAAGCAGTATGAAAAGACAAGGAAAGAAAGGACCACAAGCAATGCAGGTCAACGCAACTTTAGAAGAGGTAACAGCTGCAGCAGATGGAATGTCAGATAAAGAATTCAGGATATACATGCTTCAGATGATCTGGAGTATCAAGGAAGACATTAAACAGCAAAATCAGACAATGAAAGATCACTTCGACAAGGAATTACACAAACAAATCCAGGAAGCAAAGGATCAACTATACAGGGAGATAGAGGTTATAAAAAACAAACAAACAGAAATCCTAGAAATGCAGGAAGCAATAAACCAACTTAAAAACTCAATGGAGAATACTACCAGCAGAGTAGAACACTTAGAAGATAGAACATCAGACAATGAAGATAAAGTATTTCAACTGGAAAAGAACATAGACAGCTCAGCAAGACTGTTAAGAAACCATGAGCAGAACATCCAAGAAATATGGGATAACATTAAGAGACGACACTTAAGAGTCATTGGGATACAGGAAGGTACAGAGCTCCAAACCAAAGGAATGAGCAGTCTATTCAATGAAATAATATGAGAAAACTTCCCAGACTTGAAGAATGAGACAGAATCCCAAATCCTAGAAGCCTACAGGACACCGAATGTACAAATTCATAAGAGATCCACACCTAGACACATTACAATGAAGATGCCCAACATACAGAATAAGGAGAGAATTTTAAAAGCTACCAGAGAAAGGAAGCAGATTACATTTAGGGGTAAGCCAATCAGGATAACAACTGATCTTTCAACACAGACTCTGAAAGCTAGAAGATCCTGGAATGACATATTTCAAACACTGAAAGAAAATGGGTTCCAACCAAGAATTGTGTATCCAGCGAAATTAAGCTTCAGGATGGAAGATGAAATTAAAACCTTCCACGATAAACGAAAGTTTAAAGAATTCGCAGCTAGAAAACCATCTCTTCAAAACATCCTCGCCAAAGCATTACAGGAAGAGGAAATGGAAAATAACAATGAAAAGCAACAGTGGGAGGTAGGACAGTAAAGGGGGTAAAAATAATCAAAGAGGAAAACAAACCATGTTTAGTAACAGAAATAAACAAATATGGCTGGAAGAACAACCCATATCTCAATAATAACCCTAAATGTCAATGGCTTAAACTCACCACTTAAGAGACACAGGCTAGTAGAATGGATCACAAAACAAGACCCAACAATATGCTGCCTACAGGAGACGCATTTGATAGGAAAAGACATACATAGGCTGAAGGTGAAAGGTTGGGAAAAATCATATCACTCATATGGACTTTGGAAACAAGCAGGAGTGTCCATACTCATATCAAATAAAATGGATTTCAAGCCAAAGTTAATCAAAAGGGATAAAGAGGGACACTACATACTGCTTAAGGGAACCATACACCAACAAGACATAACAATCATAAATATTTATGCCCCAAACAATGGTGCAGCTATGTTCGTCAAACAAACTCTTCTCAAGTTCAAGAGTCTAATAGACCACCATACCATAATCATGGGAGACTTCAACACACCTCTCTCGCCACTGGA